CCTCTGGCACATGTGCAGACAGCTCCAGGGCCCACAGCTCATCTAAAGCTATTCCCACATTTCTGCCCCGGGAAGGAAGGGCTGAATTGTCCCTGAATGCTCTCTGCTGATCCAGCTCTTGAGGTATCTGCCCCTTCCCTTGCCCATTTAAAGTGTTTGAAATTGGTACACTTGAGATTTTGGGGTCAGTTCTCTGCTCCTTCTCAGTCTCTTTTGCCAAACCATTCTCTAGCCCTTGTGCCTCCTCATTAGCAGATGTACACAGAAGCTCCACACTGGAAGCCGGCACAGCCTGAAAAACATTTCTAGAAGCATCAGGCTTTCTGCTCAGCTGAACCAAGCTTGCAGAGGTCATCTGCTCCCCACAAGTAGCTGAACCAGAAGAGACTCGTGGTGGGGGCACAGGGACCGTTTGTGGCAAACAGGGCATACGTGGAGAACGCCCTGAAGTAGGCAGAACTACAGCGTTACTGCCTGCCTCAATGTAGGGGACCGCTGAGGGGGCAGATGTTGGCACTGGCAAGTCCCCACTGCGATTTGAAGAAGGGTGTTTGGAATGAGATAGCACTGTTAAGCTGTGAGGAGTGTTGCTGGAGTCTGCATTTGCTGAACTGGGAACTGCTTCTAGGGAGGGTTCAGAAATCAGAGACATAGTGGAACTAGTCTGCAAAAAGAAGACAGAAGAAATAAGGAGAGAAAAAGAAGACAGAGGTAAGGAGAAGTTAAAAAAAAAAAAAATCAAAGAATTATGCATTATAGCAATCATGACCAAAATGATCCAAAACCTTACTTCCAAGAGTAAGGAAGGAAAACGAGATGTCAAAGGGCAGAACCAGTATGACATTGTGCTGATCTTCACAAGAGATTACAGGAGATACAGTTCTAGAGCCATTGAGATCCTTTTTCTATGCCAACTTTCTAAGTGACAGCCCATGTGTTCACCTGCAGCTTTGATGGGGCCATGCAGTGGCCACTGGGAAGCCAGCTACCAACCCAGGAATGTCTAGACTGTGAGTAAAGGTCACATTAACTTACTCAGTCAGACATGTAAATTTTACATTTCAAAGCTGAAAAAAAGCAATCAATGAATAGAAAACATGACATTTTATTCTTGATACACTAATGAAATGCTCCAGCTGGCTGAGTTCATGGCAATGAAAACAAAGCTTCAGGGCATTCACAGCAAGAATAGATGACATGGGCTTTGTTCTATTCACATCACTAATCTCACCTTGGATGTGACACATGCTGAATCTACACAAGTCTGTCAGTCACTTCATGCCCTTGTAAGCATTGCTTAGGTGGCTAGATTAGCCTCTTCTCCCTAGGCCAAAGACTCCACATTTACACTGTAATAAAATCAGTACTAATTTTGATCCAAAATACACTCTAACAAGAGCAACTGGATAGAGTTTTTGCTTCTCCTTGACTTCTAGGGTCTTTTGAAAACAAAAGATCACAGTTCTTCCTTTCCCCATTTTCAGTGGCTCTCAGCTAAATTTTAGGGGACAAACTGGCATGACTCCTTTCTCTTAAAAAGGGAAAATCACAACAGTGGCTTGGAAAAGTTCACACAGTAGGTCAACCTAAGACCAGTGCTGAGCCCTCTCAGTTTTAAAAAACGTATCCATAAAGGATTTCCAATCCAAGAGCTATCAAGACCTGCTCTGATTCTTAAGTCACATTTTCCAAAGAAGCCTCAAGAAATTAGACACTTGTGCTCTAAGGTTCCAGAGCACAAAACTTCCTAAGCCCATGTATGGTATCTCAGTCTCTACTTACTTTGAGACGCTTATAATGAATAAAAGGATAATATTAACCAGAACACGCAAAAAATCTGCCAGTAGATGGAAGAGACATATACTTTCAGCTGACCTCAGCTGCTCCCATCTTGAGGGGTCAGGAGCTGGCAGGCACACACACATTTGTGAAGTCACAACAGTCGTGCTACAGGGAGACCATGCTCAGAAAAAAAAAGAGCAATGGGGGAACCACAATTCATTACAGATTGCTCCTCCCTTCGAGTAGCACAGCAAGACCCACAGTCACAGCAGAGACAAAAAGGACTAATAAATACATTCAGTAATTAAAATAAGGAAATTTCCCAATATTGCCCTCCCCCTGTGTTTTACCTAAAATGGATGTACCTGTAAAAGTAACCAGGTTTCCACTTAGTTTCCAGAATTCCTTGAAATGAAGTCAAATAATTTTCAGGGCAAGACTACCATTTTGCTCAAAAGCAAGTATTTCCAGCACGTTAAAAACATACTAGCTCCAAAATAAGAACAGTGGTTAAACACTCAACAGTAATAGAACAGTTAAATACAAGCACCTAGCTACACAGTAGGAAAGCATCGTATTACACAGAAATGGCAGAGGTTGAAAAAACAAGTGCATTAAGTAATCTCGGTGCCCACTGACTGATGAGCTAGATAAGCAAAATCAAATGGATTCTGTAAGCAGAAAGAATGAGCAACTCATTAAAGCAAGCAAAAGATGATAAGAGGGTAATGTATCAGCCTGTAATAGCACCTTTTACTCTGGGGTATGAGGGAAATTAAACATCAGTGCCTCCACTCCTCCCATCCTCATCTAACACAACTTCTAATTGTACCAACTACCAACTCCAACCAGTTACACATCATAGTGAGTTTTTCTGTCCTATTTCTTGCAACCACACACAGGTCTGGCACTTGAACAACAGCCTTTCATCTTTGCAAAGACTCCACTTCTCTTCTATCCTGCCACTGGTACAGACCAGAAATTCATTTTTTAAAGACAAGCTACCACCACTAATTGGCACAAACAGAGGAGGTAAAACCAAACAAGGATTGTAGGGAAAATGAAGCAACCTGGAGGACAGGAAAAAGTAAAGTAAGTGTTAAAAACAGCCAATGACAATATTAACAAAAGGAAAATGATCACAAAAAACATGTTCTTTGTGCTTCAGGAAGAACATTTAGACATAGATGAGTTCAATGGCTCGCAAAAATACTAATGCTGTGTTTATAAAGCCCAGATCTTAAAATGTTGCTGCAGTTCAGTTTGCTCTCAGAGCTCAACCAGAAACTAAGACAGGAAGGCAGGCAGTATTACAGAAGCCAGCTTGCCTCTGCCATGCAGATTTTATTGGAGTTGCACAAAGATTCTTAGGACTTTTCTCAAGACTGCAAAGCATTTGAACATGCACACTTAGAAATGTCCCCTCCTTGTATCTTGCAAGGAAAACCTGTGCTGGGTGAGGTCATTTGCAGTTGACAAGAGCTCACCTAGGAGCAAAGGCTGGTGGCAGCAACCACACCCCAAGCTTGTTTTCTGAGCCCTGAGAAAAGCATCAGGGGCACAAGGCTGTAACACTCAAGCTCCCACAGCACACAGAAGGAGCAAGGCAGGGTAGGCCTCCAGCACAGGTGGGAACTTTCCCCAGCTTCACAACAGAGCAGTTTTGAAACCCAACTGAACAGCCACTTGTGGATATCCTGCACTCTACCACAAGACCTAATATGGAGGGGAAAAGGGCAACACTAAGGTGTCAATATTTGCAGTTGACTAAATACACACTACAGTAAGCCTAGAGAAAACAGTGAGCAACTCCTAGATTCTCACAAAATGAAGTACATGTGCCAGAAATGGCTGACTGAATTCAATTCCAGTAAGTGCAAGGTAAGCGAAGTCCTGCAGAGCGTGCATGCTCACTGCTGGGTTCTGAACTTGCACATTTGGTCAAAACTCCAGGTATTGTAATGACCTCCACGAAACCCTGAGCACACATCAAAAGCACTCACATGAATGGTGGCACAGAGAGAACAACAAACAGCAAAGCTGTCACTGAATGACTGGTCTACCTCTCCTCACAAAACTCCTCAGTTCTTGTTGCCCCACCTAAAGTCATGGTAGGAGATGGAGTTCAGCACAGGCAAGAAACACTAAGCATCAGCAGAACCTTCCATGGGAGGGAAAAACAGAGTTAGGGGCTTTCTTAGGATTAGAAAGCAGACTCGCATGTGTATGCAAGAAAGACAAACCCAACAAAGAGAATATGCTAGATATTTGTTTTCTTCACCCTTTCAGGACAAATTCAAGTGAATAATTCAGTAAGGGTATAAGCAAAGCAGCTGAAAGTAGAAGAGAAAATATTTTTCATTTTGTTACGATTATGGATAAATGAACTCTCATGAAAATAAGCTCCACAGTTAATCATCTAGTGCAAGAATGATAACATACATATATAAATAAAAGAACAAGTTATCCAAGTATATATGCCAAGTGTTCCACATATCAAGATGACCATGGGCAAGTTACTCTTGAGCTTATCCTATTATGGGATTTTTATGTGCTACTTGTGACTGAAGTAGCAGTTCTTTTCCAATACAGTAGTTTTATTTCTGAATAGTATTTGCCATCAACTGCCCCCACAAGAAGCTCAGACTTTAATCCCACTTTGAGGTGAATAAGAGATATTGTTTTAAGATGGAAGCCTTTGAAGTATCCAGGTGTCTGATGCAAAGGCTTCAGTGCTCACACCACATGCCTGGAAGAATCTCCTTGGGGAAAGCACATCAGGGTAAAAATACACTCCTCAAAGAGGAGGGTCATCCCAAAGAACAGACCCTGGTCTCTGTCAGTAAGCAGACTGGTGTTCCATGCTCCCCTACTTCGTGTTAAGTTGTAGCACAGAAAAATAATTCACCCTGTACTGAGCAGTAACTAAGCTCATTATCTTTGGCAAATAGACAAACTGCAGAACTGAAGGAAAAACAGATCCCAGAACTGCCTTACCCTGCCAGTAATGAAAATTTATAGCAGTCAAAAAGTCAAGAACACCTACAGAAGCACTCAGGAAGCACAAATAACACCACAGGAAGTTTCTCAGAGCAAGTTTGAGATGTAAAGATGACATTCTGGAGACCAAACAAGGTCAGCAGATATGGCTAACAGGAAAAAGAGTCTGAGGGGTGGGGAGGGACAAGATGAACTATTACACTGTCATGATAGGGTACCTTAAAGTCAGAGAGAGATGCCATCAGCTCATCCAGTTCTCGTGTAGCTGAAGAAGCAGATATACGGGTCTGCTGCTGACTGGCGGTGACCCGCTGCGGGCTGCTCACCTCACCTTGGCTCACAGTGATTGCAGGGCTGACAAGGAAAAAAAAAAATTTTGCATTTAAGGCTCGGAGAGCACTCCTAGACTAGAAGTCCCACTGCTCCCCCAAGCAAGCACAGCATGGCAAGTTTCCTCAGCACTGCCCACCCTGGCCAGCCCTCCCGCAGACCCAGCTTCCACAGCACATACAGACCCTGCCTCTCTGCCAAGCCTAACACGAGTGTGTACACACACACACCATCCGTTAAGAAATGACCGATGACCAAACATTCATTTTGTCAGACAGTGGGTGTTTGTGATCAGCTGTAAATCTGAGTTTTTGAATTCATGGTACAGATGAATTCATCCAGGAGTAGATAAAAGAGCACCAGCATCTTCATGCACTTGCCTCGTTTCCAACCCTTTAGACAAAGCCCATCTTCTGTCTGTCACTCTCCTGCAGCATCTGCCCCTGCACTACAGTCACTCTTCCCACAGGAGCCTGTCCCACCCCAACCAGCAACCACCAAAACAGTACTCACACTGGACTTGGCACAGAGCTCTCCAGCTCATCAAGCAGGCTCTCCACACTGGGACGCACATCTTCAATCCCACGTGCGCCATTTCGCTTCGGCTTTTCTTTTGTAGGGGGTGCAGCTTTCCCTCCCACAGAGCTGCTGCTCTCTGGGACAAAATAGTGAGGTCCAGTCATGCTAGGCAGTGATGGGCTTCTGCTGACTTCATCTTAAGAAAGGGGAATAGAAAAGAACCATTCAGACACCTAGATACATATATACCTGCTAATCACAGGCAAGAGCAACAAATTGCCCAGAAATCTTGTGGAACATCCATTTCTGAGGATATTCAGAACTTAACAGTGCAAGGGCCTGTGCAACCTAATCTAACTTTGAAACTTTAATTAGAGCCAATTTTGAAGTTGGCCTGGCTTTGAGCAGGGTATTGCACCACAGATCTCAAGAGATCCCACCCAAACTAAATGAATCTTTCATCGGGGGCTGGAGGGGTCTCCCTCAGTTAGGATGCTGGAAGGAAAAACCAGGCTACTATTTTGAGAATCAAACTAACCATTCATACCAAATGTCTTGTTATTCCTTACCTGCTGGTAAGCCACTGGCAGGATTATGTTGAACAGCATTCAGTTCCAGAAGAAGTCTGTCCAGTTCTGAGAGATTGCTGCCCAGGGAAGAGCTGGTCATTGTGGGAGATGGTTCTGCAGACTTCTGCTTGTTTGGGAAACTGAAGATAGAAGGGAAGTGTGAAACTTCTGTGTCAAGATACAGCAGAAGGATGGAGGGGAACTTACATTACATTCACAAAGTTTACCCATGTACTGTATTCTTTTCAAGTTGATGCTTTTAGCTCTGCGGGAAAGAAGATGTGTGCTTTGTGAACTGACTACAACACAGCCACTGCTCAGCTACATCTTCAGTTGTCAGTTACTAAGAAATTGCATTGATGGGCAGGGCCTCAGACTTTAGGACTGTGTGCTGCACAGCCCTCTAGCAAAGAGTTAACTGTCTGCAGATCCAAGACTCACAGAACTGCAGCAGAACCGTTAGCTCAAGCTGACATCACACCAAGCAGCAAAACTCTCCCCCCTGAAGCAAGGGAATGCAGGGCTATCACCAAATGGAGAAAGAGACAAAGTACAAACCTCAGGCCATCAACAAAAAGTCAAAAGCAGCAGGTTATGCGGTAGCCTCTTGCAGAAATCCTTTTTCAAGTCCTCAAACCTTTAATTTGGGGAACTCTAATCAATTTATTAAAAAGTTTAAACTGTTTTCTACTGTGTTAAATACACAAGCCCCGAAAGAAGTTTACCTGTGCACAAGTGTGTACAAAACACTGGCTGTGATTATTCCTTATCCTATATGAGTGATCTCATTTACCACACATAACTGCAAACTCTTTCAAAGCAAAACTCAGCACCAATGCAGTGATTTTTATAGTAATTACACTGTAATAACAGTCCTCCCATCGTCAATGGCACGGAAATTACTTTCTCATAGTTTTACAAATGAAAAAATAACTTCTAATGCTCTAGAGATTCTTATTTTATCAAAAAAAAGATACTTTCCAAATCCAAAATGGGAACTTCTGTCTTGTGCACACTACCACATTATGCTCAGAAAGTAAATACGTAACAGGTTTTAGGACTCTGATACCCATAAGACCAGTAACAATTATGAAATTCCATAGGGGCAGTTATTATAATTCTCTTCAGACTGAAAAAAAAATTTCCAAACACGCAATCTGAAGAGGATGTGCTTCATCCCAACCCAAGCTACAATTCACACCAGAATCAAGCCATGCCAAGGAGAATTTACAGCTGTAATTACCTCAATTTTGCATTAATTGCATCCATCCATCTAAGAAAATTGCAATTACTGCCTCCATTGGGTCATCTCTGGATGTGCCTGCTTCTACCCAGAATTAGTTTGGTTAAAAGTAACTTCCTGCTCAGCAGGAGGAGCTAGGCACGGTTAGACACGACACCAGAGAAACACCAGTCTCCACAATGTAAAAAGGTACCCAGGCCAGAGTCCACTGTAGAGGGCCATCAGAGATGAAGTTCTCACAGCCTCTTCCTCACTCATCCCCTCGTCAGCAGAAAGGTCTGTCCTACCATACAGGCTACTCCTCCAACCTCTCAGTGTAAGAGCAGCTGCCTTTGGCAAGTATAAACTAGTTATCTATCTATCTATCATCTGCAGAAAGCAAAGTTTTAAGCAGTTCAAATTTACTTGAAAATTCAAGTCACTGCACATGCTGCTAGGCCACAGGTAACTGAATTCCCCAGGATAACTGACCCAAAGGCCTCTCACTTCCTACAGAACTTTTGTGCTGCTTAACAGGGGGATGGATTTGTCACTTTTCTCTGGATCATATCCTTTACAACACAATCCAGATCCTGTTCTGTCTGATGGAGCCTTAAGCTCTTCTGCAGCTGAGCAAACCAAAGGGCCAGGTCAATGACTGAAGTGAGTATGAAAGGTACAGTGGTCTCTTACAAAAGACATAATCAAAACTGACACAAGACAACATAACATACACAGGGAGCACTGCTTGCTTCCACTTGCAGAAGGCAGCTTGAGCCACAGCAGGCTCAAGTTGTGAGTCAGGCTAATCTCTTAAGAGGGACAAGATACCTGTAGACGTGTTCCTCTTCACTGGCACGTGGAGAAGGAGAGCTGAGTCCGTCCCTAGGAACAGAGGCACTGGAACTTTTGGCACTAGAGCTGTATATGGGAGACTGGGACTGAGGCTGTGGAAATGAGATTTGCATTGGAAATGGAAAATACAAAGAGAATATATACACTACTTCATTGCAACCCCACATATCTATACTGCAGAACAAAGCCCAGCAGAACATAAAAAACCCAAACTGCTATATAGCCAAGCCAGCCTCTATGAGATGAGCAACACCAGGAACAACTGTTCTCCACTTGCTTCAAATTTGCCTATGAGTCGCAGATCTGTGCTGGAAACCCCCAGTCTGCTTTCCACAGGCTACAAGACGATGACTAACACTAATCTCATCACACTACCATTTCATCGGAACAATGACGATGGATTTCAAATCCTTCTTTGCCATTTGCTCCAACCAGCTAGTTCTATTAAAAACCCACACCTCCCTGCATTTCTCCACTCTGTTCATAGCCAAACTCATCCTTACTTCTTGCTATTACCTCCCATGATCTATTTCCTTGAGATAGTGCACCAACAAAACAAGCATGCACCCTCCCCATCCGCACACATTCACTTACTTGCTGGTGGATGTATCTGGATACGTTGGGTTGCCACTGGTCTAAGGGATCAATCACAGTGCCATTCAGGGCCTCACTGGAAGGCGGCGGGGGCACTGGAGGTGGCACAGAAATCTCCTGGTATGTGTGGTTTCCAGTTGGATAGGAGTAAGGCGTTTCCTCCGTCAGAAACACTGGTCGTTTGGAGATATGTGAGGTGGTAGATTCCAGGTCTGCCAGTAAGGCGTCTGCAGGAAAGCAACAAAACAAACAAAAAAAAAAAAACCACACACCAAAATGGTAAAATCCTGGACTACAGCTTTTTCTCATTTGTCTCATTCAGGATACCTGTATCAGAAGGTCTTTGGGAAGATTTTTCATCTAAGGTGATCTACTAAATGCCCTGAAAAACATTACTACAGCCCAGGACTGAACAGGTTAATCAAACCTCTAGTACAAAAACATCAAGAGGTAACAAAGCAGCCAGAAAAACTGTGTCAGTCTCAGATTTTTGTCTTAACTGGACAACTGCCCAACAACAGGGACCCGTCATCTTCTGTACCCTGCAGAAGAGCAATGTAGGAAAAACCTGCCCAGTAATCATCTCACAACAGAGTACTGACACAGACTAATTACAGGCCCCGCATCATCACAGAGTCATTTACTGTGGCCGCAGGCATGGCTTTCTGCAGGAAACAAGATCTCGGGAGGGGTTTTCTCCAGAGTCTAAGGTAGTGGAAGAAGCACGAAACTTTCAAATTAGTCCATCGGTGCAGCAGGGATATGCGTTTCCGTTTTTCTAACAAAATCCCTCTCAGTACATCACACAAACAGTTAACTAGTTTCCAGAGGTTGCCAGGTAAACGCCATTTCTTCTCCTGGAAACAATTCTCAGCTTGCTGGGTGGAGACTGCACACAAATTCCTGAAGAGAAGAAAAACTTCCACCAGCTAGAAACACCATCACTCATGCCAGGCAGAGGAACCCACGTCACACAGTTAGCACCTCTCAGAAGTCTTAATGCAGGAAAAATATTCTCCCTCAGAGATGGATCATGAAAAGGCATTCCCACCTTTCCAGATTTCTCCCTGCAAACTATCCTCTGCCCATTACCAACCCTGCACTCTTCTGTGGTGACTCACGGGCAAATCCTGACTTGTTGGACCTTCTGCCCTGTGAACCCACCCTGCAGAGCCCACTGCAGTCCCCGGTGGGGGGAATGCCAGCGAGCGACTACAGGTCTGCACTGTACTCACTTTCTAAAGAAAGCCTCGCTGGCTGGGTGCCCAGCTTTCCACTGGGGCAGCAAGCTCATGCACACACTTCTTTAAAGCTATTAGAGAGGAGCCAATTCGCTAGGGACATCAGCGGACTCCATTATAAGAGCATCAGGCCATACCTAGCAGGTCCCTTTGGTGATGTGGAATTCAGCCAGACAACAGTAGCACAACTTCAGCAGCGTTAGGAGAGGAGGCTCTCTGAAACCCCCAGGATCTCCCTTCCCCTCTGGTGCAGACCCAACTGTCTTCAGACAATCTGTTAGCAGGATTTGTCTTTCTCCTCCCGCACACAGCAGGTACCTGATACTCCAGTTCGGGGTGTGAGGGCTCAGCCCCAGCGTAGCCACTCTGCAGTATCCTCCGCCAGTGTCGCAAGGAGCTGAAGTTATCAGGTGGCACCAAAATAGCAACCGAGCGACTGCTGGCCCTAATGGCTGCCGACCGGCTCCGAGAGGGCAGGCACCTGCCAGCTCAAAGCCACTTCCTGAGCAGAGCAGACCACATCAGCCAAGGCACTTAGCAACCCTCCAAGAAAATATATTAAAGGGTCAAATGGAGGACAGTATCAACTCATTACAAGATGAGGAATGTGCTGCTTTTATATTCACTCTCTTCCACAAACCAAAGCATCACAAAAGGGAAAAAAAAAAAAAAAAAAGTCCAGCCCTCAGAGAATAGAATACAGTCATTAGCAAATTAAATACTGCATTAAATTAACTCTATACACCTTTCATTTAGTCAAAAAGATGCTCCACATCATTTAAGCCACAGGCATCTTCCTAGAGGGGCCAAAATACCCCAGAAGCAGATTCTCCAAAGGGATACAAGTTTTCTGCATCTGGGGAAAAATGAACTTAATCTTCTTTTTAAGCAAAAGAACAGCTGCTGGATTCTAGACTGAAAGGCACATACCTCAAGGGAACTGCTGAAGAGCTGCAATTCTTTCAACCAGGCAGGTCCTATGACTGGAGGTTTCGTGCACACAACCTCCAAGAGAAGTGCTATCTGAGAAGGTGTGGTTTTTGCTTCTCCCCACCAATGACAAAGGCAAATCAAACTCCACCAGGAAGTGAAAATCCTGTAAGGGTGTTGGGCTCCTCCAGCCCTGCAGAGGGGACCCAAACCATTTTCCACCCTCCACCCCCAGCCCTCACTGCAGGACAGGCAGATGTAACCATCTCACCACAAAATTCACCTCCCCGGCTCAGCACCCTGCTGAATGAACCATCGAACAGAAATCCACTGCCTTTTACTAACGTTATAGAAGTGAGTTCTGCTAGATTTACTGGTTTACTTTTACAAGTCTGCAGAAGAGGGGTCTGGAAATACCAGGAGCACTCTGTCCTCGGGTTGTGAAGGAGTTAAGGAGAATACATTACAGTTTAATGATTAACTTCCCCCATACCCTCCCCCTTCCTGACTTGAGCAAACAAGGCAGAGCTGAGGAAGTGGAGGGAGGAGAGAACGCTGGAGAGGAACCACTCCGGTGCACTTCAACTTTACAACTGATAGTGAAGCAGCTGCAGGAAGGCACCACCCCACCCGGTAGGACAGGAAAAGAAGCAAGCCAGGAACAGGCCAGGCGCTCACACACCTGTTTATGGGGGGCGAAGGACCTCTCCTTGTGCTTGCTCGCCCCCATGTTCTGCAAACCCAGGGTCCACTCTTCCTCACGCCCCAGTTGCTCCCTCCAAGCTCACAGCCACGACAGGGGGAAGGTCTTCCCCATTCACTCTCATCCCCGCTGCTGCTTCCAGCCACACAAAAACTGATCTAATCCCATCTGCCAGTTTTCATCCCTGAAGTTTTGCTGGACTGGGAAGTTGTGCTGGTTCAAAGGGTCCAACACTGGCAGCAAAACTGCCCCAAGGAGGGCAGGGTGGCAGCAGTGGTGGCATGGTGCCAGCTCAGTCCCTCCCACCTTGCAGGACTTCACCCTTCAAGAGGGAAGCACTCCACAAATAGTTCCCCTGAAGCAAAACTGAAGGAGTTTTGAAGTCTAGAGACCGACTGGAGGCACTTATTCAAAACCCAACCAAGGGGATTAACACTTTGTTTTCCATGCTGCACCTTACCCCAAGAGGTTCCAAAGCACAGCACATTTAGGATTTGTGTGACTTTTTAACACTACCAACATGACAGTGTGAGATAAGAGACGGGGAAAAGAAGGGAGATCTATTCATTGAAGAAAGATGCATCGCGCTCTTTCTTTCTTAAAAGGGACCAGACAGCTGTAACCTGATGAACTGTAACAAAGATGCTGTGCTTTGTGCAGCACTGCACATCATGTTACAGGATAGAGATCACTACAGTGACCACCCATTAAATAGAATATTAAATACTTAAATAGAAATATTGAAGGCTCGATCGATTTACTGGGTAATGAAGTGTTCCTTCCCAAGGCGACTCCTGAGGGACAGTGCTGCAGGAGGTGTAAATCAACCAGTTAGTCCCTCCCAACATGTAGGAAGCGGTTGAGCGGCTCACGCAGGCGGAGCGGTGCACACAGCCGCGGCCTGGAGGGCACTGCTACACCCCTACACCAACATAAAGAGGGAACCCGACAGCAACCACTAACTCGGCAGTAACCTCTCCTCACTTGTTCATCCCCACAGGGCCCGGAACCTGTCCCTGTTCTAGGCACGCAGAAACTTTCTGCCAGTGCCATGTGTGTGGCTCCTCCCCACGAAGATGTGCATCCCCACACCAGCACACGCTGCAGTACCTCGGGGGCTGTCGCCCAGTCCTCTGGAAACAACCACACACCCTGACCTCACCAGTTTTACGGCTGCCCCAAATACCCTCTAAAATACTACAAACACAGATTTAGGAAGCAGAATCTCCCAATGTTAAACACTCAGAGATTCATTTATCTCTAGAGGATAGATTTAACCATTTTGTAGCAATAAAGTAAAAAATACGGGGTTCGAGCCATTGCTCCTCCACAGGATTACCCCTCCTTCCATTCTCACTCCTACAAGAACAGACAAAATGTCAACTCAGGGATATGTAGATGGAGTGGAATCACACAGTCCAGCTTCCAAAGACTCAGTAGGGCTCAGCCTACCCACAGGCATGGGCTATGCATCTAGAAAATTGTATTTTCCACTCTGAGCATGCTACTCAGTGGGGCGTGGAAGAGTGAGGGCTACTTGCTAAAGCACCACTAACCCTCCTCCTGCTTGTCATCACTATGCCGGTGCAGTCACACAGCTGATAAAACCCTAACTCACTGTCTGCTGCTGCGCAGCGCATCCTAACAGGTGCATGGCTGGGCACTCCACCGGCTCAGGTAACTTGGCCAAGCACCTGGTAAAGCTACATGCAAACATGAGACAGAGGCACAGAAGGACCCAGTCCTCCCTCCACTGGGCAGCCCAAAAATTACATGCTCAACTGAAATCACATTCAGGCCAGAGAACTACTCAAACCACATCCTCCTCAGTATGGGAGGACATTTGTGTTTGCATTCAAGGGGTTTTTCTACACAGATTTTCCTGCGGAGGAGGGACAATTGAAGAATGATATCATGTTTGATACCTTTACTGCTATAAAGCACTCAGAGAAATCTGGAGGTCCATGTTTGCCACTCTCTCCCTTCCCTCCCTTTTGCCAAAGGTCATTATTAACTATGGGGTCCTTGGGATTCTGGTCTAGATATGTATGAGTGGCCCTTAATACCAACTGCATTGCTTCAAGGTAGTTTCAAGCATCTGCCAAAGCTCTGCTAGTCATTCAGACAGCTTGGGACAAAAACTCTCAAACTGATGTCCAATGAATGCATTGAACTGCCCAGAAAAAAATCCCTTTTACCAAGAAAATCAGTGAGATGAAAGAGCAGGACAATACCTTAGAGTAAGTCTCATTTACCAGTTCAAGCTGCCCTGGAAAGAGAAATCATCTCCCAAGTTATATACTGCACATTCCTGTGCTATCTCCCCGGCCCACACCTCTGTCAGGCCGAGGAA